GAGACTTCTGAGCCTGTGGGTGCGGGTCGGTGCTCCTGCAATTGCAAGTGCAGTATTTCCCCCACAGACCACCAGGGCGGCCGAGAATACCTTTGTTCAACCTGAAATGACTCATTTAATCATCCAAAACGTTATGGAACACATTAATTAACTGAAAAATGTTGCATAGTGTGCCTTTAAAAGAACAACAGGGGCAAATATAGATAGCTGCATTTGATTAATAGATTAGTTGATTAGTTTGACATTAGTTGATTTGTGAGTTATAGCAAGAGACCTTTTGGAAACTTCCACTTTGCAACTCTTCAAGACTGCTGGAGAGTAATCTGTGTCGATGCCTGGAAAATAAATCAGCATACTTAAAATAAATGAATCTATTGCAGGTTAAATGTTTCAAACTGCTGCAGAACTTACAATGATCCATTTATGAGACTTGTATAACCAGTGGTTACAAATGACGTGTCCACTGAGTTCTGGAAACTAAAAGGAAACGACACGCGGTTAGTCAATAAAATTTGGCTTTCTTTTTTTTCTCTATTTGCATAATTTTACCTGGAATCCAAATCTCTCTGAAAGGGGGATGAAGTAAGCATGAGTGGAGAAGATCCTCTTGAGGAAATCTATGCAGAAAAATACATTTTGCACTTTAAACATACATATTTTAAGCCACTAGAGAGAGGTTTGCATTTTTTAAGGTTATGAGGTCACCTCTGATCTGATCATGTCAGAATGAGCTTTGTGTGTGATAGCTTTTAGCTTCAGAGTGCCGCTCAGCTCCTCTTCACTACTTCCTGTTGGTTAACAATAAGAGTTATTAAAGTTACAGAGATTGTTACAAATTGTGTCTTTATAAGAAAAAAATAACTTACCATGTGTGAGTGCCATGACTTCCTTCATTTTTCTATACTGGCCAAGCAGGACAGTCAACTCCTCTATACGCCGATCCTATTATCATGTTTTGTTGTTTAAAATGTAAGAAATTTAACCATAAATGGTAATACTGGTAAGAAAATTGGATTCCATTTACCTTTTCATCATTTGAAGCCAACAAAGACTCCATCCCCACCTTCAGCCTCTGGTATTCCTGGTCTAACACAGTAAAAAGGAGGCATTTTCAAAGGGATCTTGCACAGCTTTCATGTAAGTTTGTTCACGCCGTGTGACGGTTGCCTTCAGGCGTGTTGGCGACAGATGTGACAGCCATGCTAATGCGAATAAACAAGCAAAACAAATGCACGGTGACAGCACAAGCGGCCTCACAGCATCACCTGGAACAAACATCGCAGTTTGATGCCTGAGAAAGACGAATGGGGTCAGGCAAAAAAAACACTTACTTTCCATCAGCATCCTTTTAAATACAGACACATATTTTACAGGGAAGCCAGATGTGTTTACTGGACCATATCTGTCTTAGTAAAAAGCAAACTCTGCGATGCTTTTTGGATCTCTGTTGCTAAAGTCTTGATGCAAACAGCAAGTAGTTTGGATTCTACAGCTTCTTCACTGTAAACAAAATCTAAAATTTTATACCAAAATCTGAACTTTTTCATTGTACTTAAGTTCTGAAAGCTTTTCAAAAAGCCTTTTTTCGTTTAGGTGTTAAATATTAAACATTATCTCTTAATTATCTTGAATTTAGATCTTAATCTGCTCAAAGTACCTTATTTTTGGTTAGGATTAGGGTGAGGTTTACCAGTGTTAGTTTCGCAACTGTTCCATAATGAAGGGATTTTGATTCATGCAAATTTGCATATTTATTATTGGTTGCTTCCTACAACCATAAATTGTAGGACATAGTGGAAAAAGTCATTTCATTTACCTTTTAATCTATTGAAATCATCTTAGTTGCCTGTTTAAACTAACTGAAGTTAATTGTCTGGTGAGCAGATTGGGATAATCTGCTCTTGCATCACTATTCATTTACTGGAAAAACACTTGGACAAATAAAAATTTTTATTCAACTTTTCCACAATAAACAGCTTTAGGTCAAGACTGACTCTTAACTCAATATAAAGGAATTTTTTAATTATATCCATATATTTAGCTTTCAGATAAAGGCTTTTATTTACTAAACATTTATGGAATTCACTTTTTCTTTCATTATTCCTTTATTAATCAGGTGGATATCAATAAAAAAATGTATTAATTTCTGCCATATTTCTCAACAATCAGTGTAGTTATTGGTTTAAGGAGAATTTAGAGAAGCCAAATTAACCTAAAAGTCATGTTTTGGACTATAGGAGGAAGCCGGAGTACCCGGAGAGAACCCACACATGCTCAGGGAGAACATGCAGACTCCATGCAGAAAGACCCCGGGCCGGGATTCCCACCGGAAACCTTCTTGCTGCAAAGCAGCAGTGCTACCCACTGCACCACTGAGCAGCCATCATTCACATAAATAAGTGAAATAAATAAAGGGAGAATAATCTGGCTTATTTGTAAGTAAATTCTTACTGTAAAGTCTAGTGAAGAAGAGACGCCTGTACATTTTTCTAACATTGTGTAGTAGACAAAGAGCTGCATGGATTTCTAGTTAGAGACTCGGAAACCTTGATTAATATGAATTCAAAATGTTCATTTACATCTGTGCCACTGATGATTTTGTTAAATTATTTCTCTACACAGAATTAGTATAATTAGTATTAGAATTAGTAGAATTTAGGTCATTTTTCTGGGCTGAAAATTTCCTCCACAGATCATCTTTATTATGTGTTCATTTAAAAGGATGCAGGACATTTCTGTGCTTTTAATCTTTTTGTCCAGCAGACACAATTTTTTTGGTCCGATCTCGAATCAAACAGGCAACAAATGACCAAATCACTGCTTTGCTTTTGCTGAAATTGAATTAAACTACTGAGTGTTTGGTTGGAAACCGAACCCACGTCAACATGAAGCTTCACGGTGGCTTACATTTGTTTAGCAGCTGCTTGATATACACTTCCTCTACAGCAGAGTGCAGCAGAGAGTCAAGAACAGGTAAAGAACTTGTCAGTGGAGAGAGAGACACGGTTATGTGTTAAAAGTAATCCAAACTGACAGTCATGCATATCACTGGTTGCCTCTCACACATCGGTGCCGACTGATGTGGGCCTGCGAGGAGAAGTCAGATTGTCAGCCGTGCATACCTCTCTCTGCATTGTTGTTGGTGCTGCTGCCTCTGGCCAGCAGCTGGGTCTGCAGGCACTCGATCTCTGTGTCTTTAGAGGCCAAAAGCTGCTGCATCTCAGAGATTTCTGCCTGTGGACGGAGGGAAAGCACATAACTGTCAACTGGCTTGGACTTCTAGGTCAATAAATACCAAGGCCAGCTTAAAGTGACCTCTCTGGACAAAGGTACCTAAAAGGGCCATTTTAAAATCTAAAACTGACTGCTTGGCCTTGCAGTACCAGATCCACACCTCAGGTAAAATCTTCCATAAATCTTGCATTTATAGTTAGTACAGATCCTTCATTATTTTCCATAATGTATTGATAAAACTTGAACATTCATATATTTTAGATTCATTGCACACTAACTAAAATATTTCAGGTCTTTTATTGTCTTAATACGGATAATTTTGGCATACAGCTCATGAAAACCCAAATTCCTTTCTCACAAAATTAGCATATCTTGAAAAAGGTCTCTAAAGGAGCCATGCACCTGATCATCTGAACCAACAAATTATATCTAAACACCTGCAAAAGATTCCAGAGGCCTTTAAAACTCCCAGCCTGGTTCATCACTCAAAACCCCAATCATGGGTCAGACTGCTGACCTGACTGCGTCCAGAAGGCCATCATTGACACCCTGAAGCAAGAGGGGATGACACAGAGAGATATTTCTGAACCAATAGGCTGATCCCAGAGTGCTGCTGTATCAAGGCACCTCAGTGGGAAGGAAAAAGTGGCAGAAAAGCTGCACAATGAGAAGAGGTGACTGGACCCTGAGGCAGATTGTGGAGAAGGGCCGATTCCAGACCTTGGGGGACCTGCTGAAGCAGTGGACTGAGTCTGGAGTAGAAACATCCAGAGCCACCGTGCACAGGCGTGTGCAGGAAATGGGCTACAGGCGCCGTATTCCCCAGGTAAAGCCACTTTTGAACCAGAAACAGCGGCAGAGGCGCCTGACCTGGGCTACAGAGAAGCAGCACTGGACTGTTGCTCAGTTTTCTCAGTCATTTGGAAATCAAGGTGTCAGAGTTTGGAGGAAAACGGGGGAGAAGGAAATGCCAGAAGTTCAGTGTCAAGTACCCACAGTCAGTGATGGTCTGGGGCGCTATGTCAGCTGCTGGTGTTTGTTCACTGTGTTTTATCAAGGGCAGGATCAATGCAGCTATCAGGAGATTTTGGAGCACTTCATGCTTCCATCTGCTGAAAAGCTTTATGGAGATGAAGATTTAGTTTTTCAGCATGACCTGGCACCTGCCCACAGTGCCAAAACCACTGGTAAATGGTTTACTGACCATGGTATCACTGTGCTCAATCGGCCTGCCAACTCTCCTGACCTGAACTCCATAGAGAATCTGTGGGATATTGTGAAGAGAAAGTTGAGAGACGCAAGACCCAACACTGTGGATGAGCTAAAGGCCACTATCGAAGCGTCCTGGGCCTCCATAACACCTCAGCAGTGCCACTGGCTGGTTGCCTCCATGCCACGCCGCATTGAAGCAGTTATTTCTCCAAAAGGATTTCAGACAGTATTGAGAGCATAACACACTTATTTGAAGGTTGACTTTTTTTGTATTAGGAACACTTTTCTTTTATTGGTCGGATTATATATGCTAATTTTGTGAGATAGGAATTTGGTGTTTTCATGAGCTGTATGCCAAAATTATCCGTATTAAGACAATAAAAGACCTGAATATTTCAGTTAGTGTGCAAAGAATCTAAAATATATGAATGTTCAAGTTTCATCATTACATTATGGAAAATAATCAACTTTATCATAATATGCTAATATTATTACTAAGCTTAATGAATGACAAAGTGATGAAGAGAAATTCTGTTGCGTTGAAATCTTTGACATAAAAATGACACATGACAGCTGTCTAACAGGAAGTTTTGCCATTAATGCCCTCTAAAAACTTGCCGACCCATTTGGCAAGCCACACAGTATTGATCAAACAAAATATACAATCGTTACATGATAAAATTAAAAGATAAATTAATATACCGGTATACTAAGTTTGCCAGGCATTATATGAGAGAACAGTATAACAAAACATAATTGTAATGTGGTGTTCGCCAGCGGCGTAGGAAGCGGGGGGACGGGGGGGACATGTCCCCCCCAATATAAAAGCCAGGTGGATATGTCCCCCCCAAAAATTGTACCGCAAAATATTAGATTTTGACATTTTTTTAACTAGCGTGCTTTTATTTTGAAGGCGCAGCATAGCATTAC